GTGGAACTCTCTGCCCCGGAGTGTGGTGGAGGCTCCTTCTTTGGAAGCTTTTAAGCAGAGGCTGGATGGCCATCTGTCAGGGGTGATTTGAATGCAATATTCCTGCTTCTTGGCAGGGGGTTGGACTGGATGGCCCATGAGGTCTCTTCCAACTCTTTGATTCTATGATTCTATGATTCTATGACTAGGCATTCATATCAATCCAAGAATCCAAATCATGAAACAAGAAATACTTAGGCAAGAATCTTCCCAGCAAGGCTTCTATGAACAAGAACGAGAACTTCCCCTGATTCTAAACGATGCTTCATCTGACTATATTTCCCACACTTGGAACTCTTATCCCCTCGTTAAGCTATCCCCATCACTCAGAAATTGGTTTCACTTTAATTGAGATTCCCTTATCTTTTTCTGTCGGATTTTGGCAGACCGCCAAAGCTACTGTTCAGTCTGCCTGTTTTGACTAATCTCCTGCCTCCTATCTATTTGCTCATTAAGGTTTTCCAGCTGGGACAGGTGCCCAGTTGTTTTCAAGCCCCAAATCCTGGGAACTCTCTGATAACAATTCAGGGAGTACATCATCATCCCCACACCTTCATGGGAAACTACACTTTGCACAGGGGTCTCCTGGTCATTCTCTGTATCAGTATCATTGACCAAGCCATTGCCATCTTGAAATTCTTTGGCATCATTTCCCACGTACAAAACACCCTGATCCTGAAACACAATCACAGGCTGAACTCCAACACTCACTCAGAGCTTCCTCCCCAATCCTCAAGCCCTCTTCCCGCCATAAGGGCTCACCCCATCCTTATGCTATGGGGAGGGCAAGATATGCAGCATCTGAGAGTGCTCCAGATGGCTCTCAGCAACCATGTGTCTTCCTCCCCGTCCTTTTGGCATTAGGGTGCAGTGGGAAAATGAGGAGGGCCGGAGGTAAGTGCTCAGGGGGCTGAGTTTGGCCCATGGGCTTTGGTTTGCCTATGCCTGTTTTATACTCATGTGTAAGTCTAGCCATTAAAACACTGACCCCTAAAACCAGTGTAATTATCTGTGAGTCAATAGCAGTACTATACCTTAACATATCAAAAAGGGAACTATCCTAGAGAAGCTTAAAATCCTACGTGATTTTTAAACAACCGTTTTAGTAATGGTAGTGGGCAAAGCTGACACGAAATGTCAACAGGAATGTGACCATTGAGCGCGGACCCACTTTCCATCCCATGTTAATATGGTGTAACAGGAGAAGAAAATAATTAGAATAATCATAACACCAAATGGTGTATCTATTCAAGCATCCTAAGGCAAAGAGTGTGCTTTCTGTGTTACTTACCAGACCAGTATCTTACAAGACAAGGCAAGAAGAAAAATTAACTTGTTTGAAAGGAAGACAACAATTATAAAGGAAATAGGGCAAAATAACATTTGGAGTCATTTTTCAAGACACTTTTCCATATAATATAAAGCTAAGACTAAACATGGGCTTGTTGTTGTTCATTCATTCAGTCATTTCTGACTCTTTGTGACCTCCTGGACCAGCCCATGCCAGAGCTCCCTGTTGGTCGTCACCACCCCCATCTCCTTCAAGGTCAAGCCAGTCACTTCAAGGATGCCATCCATCCATCTTGCTCTTGGTTGGCCCCTCTTCCTTTTCCCTTCCTTTTCCCCCAGCATCATTATCTTATCCAGGCTAGCCTGTCTTCTCATGATGTGGCCAAAGTACTTCATCTTGGCCTCTACTATCCTTCCCTCCAATGAGCAGTCGGGCTTTATTTCCTGAAGTATGGACTGGTTGGATCTTCTCGCAGTCCAAGGCACTCTCAGAACTTTCCTCCAACACCACAGTTCAAAAGCATCTCTCTTCCTTCGTTCAGCCTTCCCTAAGGTCCAGCTCTCACATCCGTAGGTTACTACAGGGAAGACCAGGGCTTTGACTAGGCGGATCTTTGTTGCCAGTGTAATGTCTCTACTCTTTACTATTTTATCAAGATTGGTCATTGCTCTCCTCCCAAGAACTAAGTGTCTCCTGATTTCCTAGCTGCAGTCTGCATCTGCAGTCATCTTTGCGCCTAGAAATACAAAGTCTGTCACGGCCTCCATGTTGTCTCCCTCTATTTCCCAGTTGTCAATCATTCCTGTTGCCATAATCTTGGTTTGTTTGATGTTTGGCTGCAACCCAGTTTTTGCGCTTTCTTCTTTCACCTTGATTAGAAGGCTCCTCAGCTCCTCCTCACTTTTGGCCATCAAAGTGGTATCATCTGCATATCTAAGGTTGTTAATGTTTCTTCCAGAAATTTTTACCCCAGCCTTGCATTTATCAAGCCACACAAATTGCATGATGTGTTCTGCATACAAGTTGAATAGGTTGGGGGAGAGTATACAACCCTGCCTTATGCCTTTCCCAGTCTTGAACCAGTCTGTTGTTCCATGGTCAATTCTTACATGGGCTAGGATTTATTATTCTGGCATGGTGTGTACTTTTGTGGAGACTCCATCTTGTTTCATTTTCATTTGGTTGCAATGAGATATGATGTAATGTAGTAATATTTATTGAAGTTAATGCCTGAGGGTGACAAAGAAAAGGGAGCGAGGGAGCTGTTAAGTGGCAGAGTGTTTCAGTTAATGGCCTTTTTGGCTCTTGGTCACATCCAGGGAGAAGGTTAATACAATACTGTAGTTGTCATTGATGTCATAATTATAGATGTACACAACCTTTTTCTTAGTTATTTCTCTCATGACACCCCCTCGAAGATGTCATACTACATTTTTCTATAAAGCAGAATATATTTCTCTTTAAGGGAATGCATAGAATTTTGAAGAATGAAATATGTTAAGTGCTCACATTTATTAGCTTCAAAATAAGTGTACATGTTGGGCTCAATAAGTACGAGTAAATCATGTTTTAGGTGTCATTGCATTATACAAGTGGGTGGAAGTGTGATGAAGTTTGCACACATCACAGTCAACTTGGGATGATCTTCAAAGGGTAACTTCCAAAATCAAGGCTGAGCTCACATGTTTATTTTATTTATGTATTTATTTACAGTATTTATATTCTGCTCTTCTCACCCCGCAGGGGACTCAGGGCGCATTACAATCTACATATACATGGCAAACATTCAACGCCATAGACATACAACATATATAGACAGACACATAGAGGCTATTTAACATTACAGCTTTTTTCATGAGGGTATTCTGGCCACCAAGTGAGCTGTCGCTTCACCGTCCATTTGTGACACTGATGAAGTACTTCCTCATTATTTTGCATGCTTGCTGGAGATTTTATGGTGTCGTAAATTAGACTCCCAGCATAAGCGGTACCTAAATTTCCTACTTGACAGGTGCAACTGTCTTTCATGCGACATAGGTCAACAGCAAGCTAGACTACTAATGGTCGGGAGCTTACTCCGACCCGGGCTGGCTTCGAACTCATGAGCTCTTGGTCAGTAGAGATTTAATGCAGCTGGCTACTAACTAGCTGTGCCACAGCCCGGTCCACTATCTTTAGATATATGTCTTTTTAAAAAAATCAGAATTGAGGAACCTAATTTTGCAGTGACACTGATGAAATTCTTCCTCGTTCTTTTGCATGCTTGCTGGAGATTTTATGGTGTTGTAAATTAGCCTCCCCGCATAAGTGGTTCCTAAATTTCCTACTTGACAGATGCAACTTTCTTTCGGGCTGCAGAGGTCGACAGCAAGCTACAAAAATTGGTCGGAAGCTCACTCCAACCCGGGCTGGCTTCGAACTCATGACCTTTTGGTCAGTAGTGATCTTAATGCAGCTGACTTCCACCCAGCTGCACCACAGTTTAAGATAAAATTGTTCCTAGGTTCACCTTCAAAAGCAAACCTTGCTTTATTCCCACGCTTAAACCACACAATTGGATGAGTTATCGTAGATTTTTCAAGCTATATAGCCATGTTCTAGAAACATTCCCTTCTGACATTCCACCTGCATCTAGGGCAGGCATCCTCAGAGATTGTGGTGTCTGTTGGAAACTAGGAAAATTGGGTTTATATCTCTGTGGAATGTCCAGGGTGGGAGAAATAACTCTTGTCTGCTGGAACTAGGTGTGAATGTTTCAACTGACCACCTTGGTTAGCATTTTATGGACTCACAGTTTTTAAGTGTGGCTTGTTAGTACCTGGGGAAATCCTTTGTTGAGAGATGATTAGTTGTCCCTGATTGTTTCTTGTCTGGAGTTCCCCTGTGTTTGAGTGTTGACTTTATTTACTGTTATAATTTTAGAGATTTATTAAATTCTCGTTGCCAGATTTTGTTTATTTTCATGGTTTCTTCCTTTCTGTTGGAACTGTCCACATGCTTCTGGATTTCAGTGGCTTCTCTGTGTAGCCTGACATGGTGGTTGTGAGAGCGGTCCAGCATTTCTGTGTTCTCAAATAATATGCTGTGTCCAGGATGGTTCATCAGGTGCTCTGCGATGGCTGACTTCTCAGGTTGAATCAGTCTGCAGTGCCTCTCATGCTCCTTGATTTGTGTTTGGGCATTGCTACGTTTGGTGGTCCCTATGTAGACTTATCCACAGCTGCGTGGTACACAGTAGACCCCATAGATGCAGGCAAAATGTCAGAAGAGAATGCTTCTAGAACATGGCCATATTGCCCATAAAACCTACAACAACCTATTGATTCCTGCCATGAAAGGCTTTGATAATATATTAAATACAATTGGATGCTGATTTGTTTCTAAGCCCAGTCTATAGCTATTGTTATCTACTTTTAAAGCACTCAATAGATTGGGGCTGAAGTACCTGAAAGGACGTGTGTTTCCATACCAACCTGCTTACATTTTAAGCTTTTACTTAGCGTTGCTTCTCAAGATGCTCCTTTTAATGGAAGTATATTATTCAGTCGTTGGGGGAGAAGGGTTTGTTGCAAGGAAAACACTGAGTCATGCATTTTATGACCAAATAGTACAACTGTCAGTAAATCCAATTAAAACCGTACTTATAAAACATCTTTTTTGTCCTTTAAAGGTGACAACCCTTGTAAACACAAGCAACAAAGGGCCATCCGGAAAAAAGAAAGGCCGGTCTAAGAAAGCGCATGTACTGGCTGCTTCGGTAGAACAAGCGACTCAAAATTTTCTGGAAAAAGGAGAGCAGATTGCAAAGGAGAGCCAGGATCTCAAAGATGAGCTGGTGGCAGCTGTGGAGGATGTGCGCAAACAAGGTTCGTATGTGTTAATATCACAAATTACACCACAATGTGATTACAAATTGTGGTGTCACGGGCTGGGCCTATAATAATTGCCTTTTGAACAGGACGTGCTCTTTGTGCCCAGCGGGAAGCTGGGTTGCCTTGGCTGAGAGGCCCTAAGGATTTTCCTATACAAAAGTCCTTAGATGCTTGAAAAGTTTAACAAAGTCCTTTATTATTGCTTAGATCAGTGTTTCTCAACCTGGGGTTCGGGACCTCTGGAGGGGTCGCCAGGGGGTGCCAGAGGGGTCACCAAAGACCATCGGAAAACACAGCATTTTTTCTTGGTCCTGGGGGTTCTGTGTGGGAAGTTTGGCCCAATACTATCATTGGTGGGATTCAGAATGCTCTTTGATTGTAGGTTTACTATAAATCCCAGCAACTACAACTCCCAAATGTCAAGGCCTATTTTCCCCAAACTTCACCAGTGTTCACATTTAGTATACTGAGTATTTGTGCCAAGTTTGGTCCAGATCCATCATTGTTTGAGTCCATAGTGCTCTCTGTAGGTGAACTACAACTCCCAAACTCAAGGTCAATGCCCACCACACCCTTCCAGTGTTTTCTGTTGGTCGTGGGCATTCTTTGTGCCAAGTTTGGTTCAATTCCATCATTGGTGGAGTTCAGAATACTCTTTGATTGTAGGTGAACCATAAATCCCAACAACTACAACTCCCAAATTATGTTTCATAACAGGAGCACACTTACAGTTATGAAGTAGCAAAATAATGTTATGGTTGGGGGTCACCACAACATGAGGAATTATATTAAGGGGTCGTGGCATTAGGAAGGTTGAGAAACACTGGCTTAGATCTTCTACAATTTAAACAAACACTTCTCAGATCTTCAACAAGTTAAACAAATGCTTTTTAACTTGCCCAAATGTACAGGTAACTGGCTTCGTGAACTGTTTCTTTTCTTTAAAAGAAAAACCCTTTTTAACCCCTCCCAGGCAATCTTCTTTCTATGCTTGCTGGTGTGGGCTCTACTCCCGGCTCCAATTGCTTCTGGTTACCTGAGTAGACCTACCAGCCAAGGCTTTGTAGATTCTCCAGCTGTAGTTCTTTTGGATCTTTTCCATGAAAGATGTGGAGCTGTTTCCCCCAGACGCTTCTGTTTCCCCCGGATGCTGTGAGAAACGAAGCTTGTCTACAGATAGAGCTGATCCACGTCCTGTAGCTAAGCTTTCCACTATAAGACTGAACTAAAAATGGTTCCCTTTCCCTCCCAGAACCCTGGAAAAAAGGGGCGGAACCAAAACTTAACAATGATAGACAGGTCATTGACCCTATAATTGCAAACCAAGAGAAGCCACCTTACTGCAAAATGCATGGAACCTTGGAAACACTCAATAGAAAGAAAATGAAGCTGAAGCTCCTGGTACAGCTGTACCAGCACACAAATGTCAACGGAGTCAGTTTCCAATTAATGCTAGCTGTATATTATTGTGCAAGTATCATAAAATATTCATACAAGTGTGCAATGATAATTACATTGAGAATTGCATTAGATTGGCACCATCTCTTTTTACTTAGATTTTCATGATAGAGTTGACAAGTGAGCTCCTTTTTGTAAATGAGCTTCTTGAGATCATTATCATCGATAATTGTTTCATCTGATTCTGAAATGCTGCTTTTTCAAGGCAGAGAAGAAAAAATGTAAGTTAAGAAGGCCCAGCTCTGGATAGTAGATGGGCCAAAACTAATAAAATGAAGTTCAACAGGGAAAAATACAAGATACTCCACTTAGGCAGAAAAAAATAAATGCAAAGATACATAATGGGTGACAATGCCTGGCTCAACAGCAATAGGTGTGAGAAAAAAAATCTTGGATTTCTCATGGACAACAAGTTAAACATGAGCCAACAATGTAATGCGATGGCAAAAAAGCCAGTGGGATTTTGGCCTGCATCAATAGGTGTATAGTGTCGAGATCAGGAAAGTCATGCTACCCCTCTATTCTTCCTTGGTCAAACCACACCTGGAATCACACTGTGTCCCATTCTGAGCAGATGTTGACAAGCTGGAATGTGTCAAGACGAAGGCGATTAAAATGATCAAGGGTCTGGAGAACAAGCTCTATGAGGACCAGCTTAAAGAGCTGGGCATGTTTAGCTTGCAGAAGAGAAGGCCGAGGGGAGACATATGAGGGTCATGGATAAATATGTGAGGGGAAGTCTTGGGAAGGAAGGAGCAAGCTTGATTTTGTTCTGCCCTAGAGACTACGACACAGAAGAATGGCTTCAAACTACAGGAAAGGAGATACCACCTGAGCATTAGGAAGAACCTGACCGAGAGAGAGCTGTTCAGTAGTCTTTTATTTAGTTTATATCAAAAGCATTGCATAAATTAGTAAAAAATGATAAAAATAGAAGGAGTGCAAGCGGTTAAATATCTTTTGACCAAAAACTGGCAGCAGTAATGGCATTGTCTGTAGCCAGAGGCGACCCTAGGTAATTTTCAACGGTAAGCAAACAGTATTTTGCCCCCCACAGCCCACCAGCAACCAATCACTGATATATATTCCCTGTTCATTGTGGGAGTTCTGTATGCAATATTTGGTTCAATTCCATCATTGGTGGAGTTCAGAATGCTCTTTGATTGTAGGTGAACTATACATCCCAGTAACTACAACTCGCATATGTCAAGGTCTATTTTCCCCCAATAGCACCTCGAAAGTGCCCCTGGGCAAAATCAACTATACTGCAAATGCTTGCTTCGCGTAATGGGTTGAGCCACCCCTGTCTGTAGCCTCCAACAATTTTTCCTCTGTACATGAGGCAGGGCATAGTGAACAAGCATACAGATGCGGAGTTGTCTGTTCTGCTCCACAGTCACACAAGGTGTGGGATTCTTTTAGGCAGTGCCATTTTGTCAGGTTGTCTTTTGATCTGCCCACTCCTCTTCTGAGTCTGTTCAGGGACTTCCAAGTTGCCCATTCTTGGTTTGCCCTGTTCAGTAGTGGAACTCTCTCTGCCCCAGAATGTGGTGGAGGCTCCTTGTTTGGAGGCTTTTAACCAGAAACTGGACGGCTATCTGTTGGGGGTGCTTTGAACTCAATTTTCCTGCTTCTTTGAAGAGGGTTGGATGTTATGGCCCATGAGGTCTCTGCCAACTTTATGATTCTATGACTCTATCATTCTAGTACTTGGATGGGATGCCTGTGAATATCAGGTACTGTAGGCTATATTTCAGAAGGAGGAACTGGCAAGACCATCTTAGAATATATATTTTTTCCTAAGAAACTGTTATGGAATTCAAAGGGTTGCTTGAAGGCACATACCCATGTACCTTGTGTAATAAAACTCCAAACCCAAGATTGAATTTCTTAGTACCTCAACCAGATGAACACAGCAGGTCACTGTGACTTTCCATGAGAAGAATCTCACATACATTGACTTTGATCACAGGTATCCTCTCTTGTGGCAGTATCATTATGCGCTTGTCAGTTCCCACTGTGGTGAATCCCATTACAGAAAGATACCATCTGCCAGGAGGGATGGCATACATGCTGTTGTGATTTAAGCCCCCCCCCCCCCCATTTTCCTTGTTTTCTCTCCTGTAATTCATATTGCAGGATGATGTAATACTGTACTCTGGCATTCCTAGTTATTTGTAGGTGAGAAGGGAAGAGCAAAACAAGCTTTTGAATGTATTGTCGAAGGCTTTCATGGCCGGAATCACTGGGTTGTTGTAGGTTTTCCGGGCTATATGGCCATGTTCTAGAGGCATTTTCTCCTGACGTTTCGCCTGCATCTATGGCAAGCATCCTCAGAGGTAGTGAGGTCTGTTGGAAGTAGGAAAATGGGTTTATATATCTGGGGAAAGACCAGGGTGTCACAAAGGACTTTTGTCTGCTGGAGCTAGATGTGAATGTTTCAACTGACCACCTTGATTAACATTTAATGGCTTGGAAGTGCCTGGGGAAATCTTTCTTTGAGAGGTGATTTGATGTACCTGATTGTTTACTCTCTATTGTTTTGCTGTTGTAATTTTGGAGTTTTTTAATACTGGTAGCCAGATTTTGTTCATTTTCATGGTTTCTTCCTTTCTGTTAAAATTGTCCACATGCTTGTGTATTTCAATGGCTTCTCTGTGTAGTCTGACATGGTGGTTGTGAGAGTGGTCCAGCATTTCCGTGTCTCAAATAATATGCTGTGTCCAGGTTGGTTCATCAGGTGCTCTGCTATGGCTGACTCCTCTGGTTGGAGTAGTCTGCAGTGCCTTTCATGTTCCTTGATTCGTGTTTGGGCGCTGCGTTTGGTGGTCAGTTGAAACATTCACACCTAGCTAATCAAAGTGGTCAGTTGAAACATTCACACCTAGCTCCAGCAGACAAAAGTCCTTTGTCACACCCTGGTCTTTCCCCAGATATATAAACCCATTTTCCTACTTCCAACAGACCTCACTACCTCTGAGGATGCTTGCCATAGATGCAGGAGAAACGTCAGGAGACAATGCCTCTAGAACATGGCCATATAGCCAGAAAAAACCTACAACAACCCAAGCTTTTGAACATTTATTTAGGTGAGAGCTCAGTCATCACTCCAGCAACCACCACAAACACCATCTTCGCCTGTAAAATAGTCTAATGTCTTCAAAGTGTTTCATATGCACTGACTACTTTTGAGTCCTTCAGTGACAATATTTTTGAAAAGATCAATATGAACTATAACCCACATTCCATGATAGAAATTAGCAAGAAAGGTTCTGGGAATAAAATGCCCATTACTGTGATGCCTTTGTGGCATGATCATATTTTCAATAATGCGCACAGTTGGGTCAGGGATATTGATTCCTGTCTTACCTTCCTTTGGTCTGGTTAAGCTGAATTATGAGCAAAGTCTGGCTATCAGTGTACAGACCTTATTAAATGTAGCTGTGTGATAATTGGAGCTAGCGCTCATGTATCCAGAGTCATTCATCATATTTTATTGAGGGAAGTATTCATAACCTGTTCTAAGTATTTACTTT